GTGGCCTACGGGCTTGGACATTGGCTCAATACTTCATTGTATTGCTCTTTATGGATGGTTTTCTCGGTGCATTTGTACTCTCTACTTGGGATACTACTACTTGCTCAGCTGTGTGATTTCACAATTTGGTTTTATGTATATCGCTCACACTCATATTCCTTGCACTAATATCTGAAGTTGTGAAAAAAAATTAAAAAAATTGCAGAGATTTTACGAAGTCCTACTTGATTCACTAATAAACAATCAATCAATCAATCAATCAATCAATCAATCAGTCGATCAATCAATCAATCAGTCGATCAATCAATCAATCATTCAACAATCAGTTGACCAAGCAAGCTGGCTTCTTGATTGAGAGGTCCGCTCCGATACCAAACTGTCGCATACCGTAACGGTGCAGACCAGAAGAGAGGTCCGCTCCGATACCAAACTGTCGCATACTGTAAAGGTGCAGACCAGAACAAGAACCGACCCCTCTCATATAGTACAAGATAGCGCAGCGGAAGGCTAATATACCAATGATCCGAACAATCAATGTCGCAATGCAGATCAAACATACATCATCATCATTCCATGGTTTGAAGGGGCCTGGCGCTCACACAGGAAGAATGCGCCAGTCCCCAACCATTCACAGACGAAGAAGAGGGGGGTTAGACGAAGAAGAGATGAAGATGGGAATGTCCTCAACACCAAGTCTTCGGTACAGGTCCCAAATAATCCCTCGTCCAATGTCTCAAACCCAATGTAGAGTCTGGATCCAAATGTCGTTAAGTCCCAAAGTCACCAATCTCTCTCGCTCTCTAGTAGTCTGCAGATACTGAGGATTCAGGTGGCAAGAGGGTGAGGGAAAGATGGTGGACTTAGAGAGGAAGAAGAATAACTCTCTCTCTCTCAGTCCGCTACGAACCTGTGAAGGTGGCGCCTTGTTGCAGGTACATCGAAGACGAAGCTGGAGCGATGGCGCCACAGGTAAGTCTCCCTGGCCTCCGCCAACCATCCCTCTCTTTCCAACGCTACTCTAGCTCCTAATAGCTCCCAGCGCTGAGGACTACTCCTAACGCTACTACTACTACTGCAGCGCTCCTCCAGAGTGCTGCTGCCAAATCCTGAAGACTGCAGCCTGCCTCCTGCACGTGAAGTGCCCTTGAACTGCCTGTGAAGTGCAGGGCGGACCAGTACTATATAGTGCTGGTCCGGCCTGGGAGGCTGCTCTTGGCCATGCCGAATCGTGCCAGACCCTGGCGTTGAAGTTCAAACAAAGGTTGTCTTGAAACAGGCCCAAAAATGTCCTGTGCTAAAACCCTGGTCTGGTGCCTAAGTTTCAGGGCAGGTCGACCTTATGAGGACCTGAAAATGGCCCTCCGTTTCAGGCTGAAAAGACTCAGGGCCTGGAGGGCCCTTTTTTAAGGCTGAAACGACACAGGGCCTGGAAGACTCTTATTTTCCATCTGGTCGGGCCCTACAGGCCGGTGTGGCTGGGCCGTATGCCACAGACAAGCTAGGATACGATGTGGAGGATGATGGCACTGGGGATAGTCCGCGCAGTACAGACACATACTTTCTATGACAACTTCCTGGAAACATTAACGACACATGGCATGTTGCTGACATGCCATTAGTATGGAAGGCTGACATGCACAGTTATTTAGGCATTGCAGATCGAGGCCACAACGGCATGCTGGGCAAGTAATGACGCGGTGGGGGGGATGAGCACAAGACAAGGGATCACAATTTTTGCGGGAGAGGCTGGCAGAGTATATCCCTTCATATGTTCGGAGCGGAGGGTATGCCATGTACATGACAACCGAATTGTACCTGTGTGGCGACACAATGGGAGGGCACAGCCACCGTCCCCTGGAGAGGTCCCTTCACTGTTTGTAGTAGAATCAGACGGATTGCTCTCACGGGGCGGCAGTTCTTGCAATTGCTCATCGACATACTGCTCCTGATGGACGAGCCAGACCGAACGATTCTCTACCACTTGGTGATACAAAGAGTTAACATTTCCCGCTGTGCGCACGCTACCGCCTTTGTCCCATAGGATCCACGAATTATCGGCAAATGTAAGAGCACTGAAATGACCTGGACGATGTAAGATATATGCCCGAATATTTGGATCCATGCCTGGCACATGGTTTTGTGGAGCAGGCTGGAACTGTAGTCGCCTACCCATAAATGCCATAGACAGGACATGTATGTTCGCACCAGGTGCAGTACTGTCATCCTCCGGGCAGACAGCACTGTGCTCTTCTTCTATCCAGCGGACAACTTCTGGGAAATCAGAAATCATATAAGGGTTACAATTGTAAGCAAGGAGACGTACATTAATGGCACAGAACGCACAGCATCCTCGCTGTAGCGCTATGACATCATCCGATTCCACAATTTCCACATGGTAGGGGGAGATTTGTTCAATTCTGCAACTTGCACAGGTGGTAGAGACTCATTGCGGTCTCGACTATTTCTGTCAGGTGCCTCCGGCTTTATTGAGTCCATTGGCTCTTGTATGCGCTCCGAAGATAGATCTTCAGTCGGGAGCTCTATCAGGTAATCCGAAGATGGGTCATTGTCATTCGGGGCAGGGGAGCAAGCAGGGCTAGGTGGATGAGAGAGGGGCAGGTCAGGCGGGTGGAACCAGATGCCGGAAGTGGAAGCGGCTGATCAGCCGCACTTGTGCTCAGTGCGGCTGCTAGTCGTGCAAATGCTGCACAAGTAGCTGCACCTCGTGTCTAGTGCACACGCAGGCCTAAAGCAGTGAAGAAATTATCGCCGTATTGCGGGCATCGGACTTGACATGTACTATTCCTGGCTAGCGTGTTTTGAAGGCGACGATGTCGTTCCAAACGATTGCAAGCATGCCGGGGGAGCAGATCTCTAATCCCTGCAGGAGGTCCACTGATCATGCTGTTCAAGGATAATCGAGGCCGCTGTCTTGGAGGCTGCGGTGGTGACGCAGAACGTCGTGTGTGTGTGTTACATCTTCGACGCCACACGGGTCCTACCGGACCCGACTTAGGGCTAGAGGGACACATCAGGGCCTAAAGGCCCGACCTTGGGGTACTACAGGCCATAAAGGCCTCACCTTGGACCAGACCCGACGGGTAGGCCCAAATGACATTACCGTTTGGGCCTGGCGGCGCTCTTGAGGCTGCCGCCCGCCGGTTGGGGCTGAACCGTCCATCTGGACGGTTCAGGGCATGGCCAGGCCTCGCAGCATTGAGGCCGGCCTCTGCCCACCGGTATATAGAACCGGTCCAGCCTCAGTCCAGGATCGACCTACCGGCATTCTACTGGTACGGTATGGTACAGCGCTAATCAGCGCTGGCGTTACCTTTAGCGCAGGAGCAGCGAGGAGCAGCGCAGCGCAGCGTTAGCGCAGCAGTAGCAAGCGAGCAGCAGTAGCGGCGACTGGGTTACCGGCGGCTATGCCTGAGGTATTGGGAGTTGGAGGCTTCTCTCCTCCCTCCCCTCGCCAGTCCCCTCTCTCTCTCTCTCCTCCTCGGCTCCTTCTTCTTCTTCTTCTTCTTCAGATTGGAGACTTATACTATGTGGACCGAGATCAGTGTTGGACTTCGGTGGTATGAGACTGTGGTACTTACCGGATTGGAGACTTGGAGATCGTTGGGGTTGATACTTGGCGACATCACAGTTCAGACACCGGTTACATTTGGACTCTGTATCCCCGACATTGGTGACCTACGATCCTCGACACTTTGATCTTGTTGGATGACATTTTGGACTACCATATCGGTGACCTATCAGATTCTATTTCGGTGACTTCCGGTGCTGTCTACCTTCCCCCCCCACCTCTTCGTCTCTCCTCCCCCATTCATCTGTGTATGCGTGTACGGGGCTGAGCATCTTCTATGTATGGCTCAGACCCCACCACCTCACGATTGTATGTGTGTGGAGTGATGCTATGTGAGTCAGTCTATGTGAGTCAGTCTATGTGAGTCAGTCTATGTGAGTCAGTCCGTTCATCAGACTTCCGTTGCATATATGCTCATCCTACATTGGTTGATCCTTGGTTCTGCCCATACTCATTGGAGTATGTAACAGTTTTGGTATCGGAGCAGACCATACAACGGATCTGCTCACAAAGGTAAGTCTGGTTAGGAATTAGATTGCCTTCTCAATCTTCCAAATCAGCACTCTACTACTATTAAGTTCAAAGTTGCAATTTTTTTCTTTTCTTTTCGGTATTCTATTTAGTTCGGCATTTCCGTTCAATTCAGTATTCGGACTTATAATTCGGATTTCTGTTTTCTTCCGGCATGCTGTCTATTTGAGTTCCGATTGAGAAATACTAATCCGATAATTGATTAAGTTTCGGATTTCTGATGCTACACGAATTAGGGTTGAATCAGTATCATGTTGAAATTCGGCGTTTCTGATTTCCATTCAGCATTCCGTTTTCGGCATTTCGTTGTAAATCCTATATTTCGCTTTCTTTTGGATGTCCGTTGTCTTTCAGTATTGGAAATTAGGGTTACGAAAATCTTTGGGTTTTAGATCAACTTGGGGAAATTCGAACGTTTTGGGACCGTAAATCCGGAACTTTCGCGGAAACGCGGAAAATTAGGGTTGGGACCGAAATTTTCGCGAATTTTTTTTTCGTTCCCCTTGTTTGAGAAATTCCGAAAACAGGTTTAGGCTTTTACAAATCGGATTTTGACGGTGGAAATTCCCGAAAATTCACGTTTTTGAAAATTCGAGCAATTTTTATTCTGAATTTTTCCGAATTTTTTTAGCACACTAAGCCGTATCTGACCCTCAAACTGCAACTTCCGGGTAGTTCACTCATTAACGGTGAACTCCCGGACTCAAAGTGATCTCAAAGAGACCTAATCATAGCACCTTTTCAAATTCGTTAGTATCATGATTGCAATTATTGTTTATTAATTATCTTTATTGCAAATAATGATTATTGGTTATCTTTATTACAAACATTGTTTTATTGATCATCATTAGGAGTATTTCGTTATCTATCATTAAATCGTTAKTAATTCCTTATTACGAATTTTTGARTGGTTTACGRGAAATTTATTTCTCTGTTTGATTAGGTGTCTACAGTCCATCAGTGGGACAGGGAACTGTATGCGTATGGTTTGATTGTTCTACCCCTGTTCCCACTCTCCCTACCCTCCCCGTATTCTGTGACCACCGGGACCTCTCAAGTACCGCATCAGTACACACTGATGTCGATGGAACAGGATACCGGGCACTGCCACAGCGCAGTGCCAGGCTCGCAGTTCGTGCTCGACCTACGGTACCTCCACGAACCAATACAACATTGACGGTACCGGACACCACCGGAGTCCTTCCCGCATGCCCGGTCCGAAGGGCCAGTGAGCCGTTGGCTGACTATTTTGGGCGGCTACAGGTATTTACAGATACCGTAGCTGCCGCCAAGGCTCAGCAGGAGGCAGCAGAGGCAGAACGTCAGCGGCTGGCCAATGAGGCGGCAGCCCAAGCTCAGCAGACTGCTGAGGCTGACGCAGCGGCACGAGACCAACGGAATGCCGCCAGTACGGAGTCCCTGATTCATAGTGAAAGTAAGTGGACAACGTTCCTCCAAGGCATGATCTTTGTGCCTTCGGACGCGCAGGCAGATCCGACACCGGCGGAGGCAGAGAGGACTCACCTGGCTAACATGATGCTGGGCATGATGAGAGGCATCATGTGGAATAACACACTGCTGCAGGCACATCTGCGCACGGAACGACAGCAGCGACAAAAGTACCAGCAAGACATTGCTGTTTTAACAACTGCCATCCGCGCCGAAGCAATGCAGCAGCAGCAACAGCATCAGCTGTTGAACTCCCCTCTCGCACGCATCAACAGCATTGAGGCTAACGCCTCAGCAGCGCCAGGCTGCACAACAGACGCGACGAAGCAACTCAATGAGCGCATTGATCACGTCGTCACCATCATCGGCGACATAGGTGTTTTCAATGGGCCAGACACGATCAGTAGCACGGTGGCCGCCATCAAGACGGACATCACCAAGCTGCGGACGAGACCGGACGCCGCTACAAAGACTTACAAGATGCTGCACTTCGACATCAGCAAGTTCGACGACTACAACAAGTCGGACGCCTTGACATGGTGGCAACGTTTCCTCACGGAAGCATCATGCCGCACTGTCCCGGCAGACGGCATGATGAAGGCACTCTACTTGCAACTAATTGGAGGAGCGCAGGCTTGGATGAAGCATCTGGCGGCTACCAACAAATGCACCATCGCCGACCTCCACACGCACATCGCGTGGAATGAGTTCGAGACGCTATGGTTCACCCGGTTCATGGTCCGCAACGTCGTGAAGGCGGCCATGAACGAGGTGTACACCAGCTCTCAAGGAAATATGCCAACTCGAGACTGGACAACCAAGTGGCAGAAGATAGTGACCACACCAGGATTCGATTTGAGTTTTCCAAATCAACGATCCGAGTTCTTCTCGCGATCGTGGGCGGGACTGCGGTCGACACTCGGCAACGAGTACGACTATGACACGTTCCAGGCCATTCTGGATCGTGCGAACTTAGTCATCCAAACGGATGACAAGGCCGCAAACGAACGGCAGTCCCAGCCGCATTATGTGGCTAAGCAGGGCTATCAACGTCCGGCACATAACAATGCCGTGATTTCTGAAGAAACAGGCGATCTCCACGCTGCAGCAGCATCCTCGAGTGATGGAGGAATTGTAGCAGCGCTCCCGCCGAAACGTCCCAAGAGAGTTCGGAAGAACAAGGCGATACAAGAGACAGCAGCGACGGGAACTGGGCAGCAGCCATGGACGGCTTACAAGATAACCAAGGATGTCTATGACCTTTGTCAAAAGTACGGATACTGCCTCTGGTGCAACGGCGTCACTCATGTGACCGCACAATGCCCCGAAAAGGGCAAGGCAAGCGTACCCCGTCTAGCAAACTCGGGAAACTGAGTTACGCAAGGAGAGGGGCGACGTCTCTCCTCACTCCGCCGGACCCCGTTGCCTTGCTAGCAATCGATGTCACTACCGGGGAGCATGCGTTAGTCGCTGATTCTCGTGCCACGTACGAGCATTATGCCGCCCAGCTGGTACCAACATTAGACCAGCCAAGCCACGTGCACTTAGCTAGCGTATGCGCAGCCTGTACACCGTCGGCAAGTGATCCGGTCAGTTCGCCACTGATTTTCGAGGGCTCGACGGCGTGGTCAAGACTTGAGGAGCTTGACCCGCGACAGAGGACTTCGTTTGGATGCCTCTACCCTCAACCGGAACCTTGGCAAGGCCGCATTGCAACGCCTTGATGGCAACTCTACGCTCCTATTTGCACACTACAGTACCAGCTCCGTTGACGGACGACGGGGTAGCGGTTGTCGATCTCCGCTCCTATCTTGCGAAGATTGACCGCGAGCACGCCACCCAAAGGTACGCCGAAACCGACGCACCTTTGCTCTATATCCGCATTCAAATCGGAAAGGCAACCTGTAGTGCCTTGATTGATT